GCTTATCTCTGTTTACGGTACAACCACCAAATTCTGGCACCCTGTATAGGAACAAGCTGGGACCTCGACCTGTGCCTGAGGCTGATCCTCACCTACAGCAACAGGCAGGAAAGCAGAGCTCTTTTGTGCAGCTGTACAGATGCTCTGATGAGCTGGAGAACGCCCTTAGAAAGGACACAAACCTTCTTTGACTCCGTCTCAAACGTCGAGGGCAGCATTTCAGGAAACAGCTTCAAGAATACAGGTAACAGGAACTCCATGAAGGGGACAATGACAAACACCAGGAAGGGAACGAGCCGGAAGAGATCTGCACAAGTTCTCAGCAGCTGTAGAGAAGACACAGGAGAAATTATGACTCAACCAGATACACAAATATGTTCTGAAGAAGTGTGGAAACTGAGCAGTTCAGCCTCTTTCACAGAATCATAGCGTTTGGGTTGGAAAGGACCTTAAGATCATCCAGTTCCAACCCCCTGCCATGGGCAGGGATTCCTCACACTAGAGCATGTCACTCTGTCCAAGCTGGCCTTGAGCACTGCCAGGGATGGGGCAGCCACAGCTTCTCTGGGCACCCTGTGCCAGCGCCTCAGCACCCTCACAGGGAAGAGCTTCTTCCTTATCTCCAACCTGAACTTGCCCTGTTTCAGTTTGAACCCATCACCCCTTGTCCTGTCACTCCAGTCCCTGATGAAGAGCCCCTCTCTGTGACAGTAAGCCTCTTACTGCATCATTTCAGCAGGGTGGCACTTACCCTTCTTCTCTCCCTCCTAGTGAGGACCTGGCCATGTAACAGCCTCCACACCATCCTGGCAGCCACCTTCGTGTCAATCCAAAGCAAGTGGAATCCATTGTAATAGTGTTTCAGTTCCTCCACAACTCTTTGGCGTAAAGACCGTGTCCCCTTGGGCCTCTCTGTGTCTGGTGCTGCTGGAGCCGTGTGGGGCTGAGCCTTGTGGGCCCCATCGCTGCGGGATGCGGGTTCCTCGTGGCGTGAGCAGGTGGAGGTGTGGAATGTCCGCAGGGATGCAGGCAGTGGATGAGGCAGGATGGTGCCCACGGGAGCACGGCACAGATGGTTCTCAGAGTCTCTTACACAGGTCCAGCTTAAACCAGGATCCACTGCTTGGGCAAAAGCAACTGCTGGGGAGTGCTGGGAACTGGAGTGTGTGAGGAGATGGGAGCCTCTGAAACTGGAAAGGTGTGGAAGGAAGTCATAGAATCAGAGAATACTTAGGGTTGGAAAGGACCTTAAGATCATTTAGTTCCAACCCCCAATGTGGCCACGGTACCCAGGGTTTACACATTAATGGCCTTAGTGCCAAATTCATAGTCACAGGCTGCTTTGTGTTGAAGGGAGCTTAAAGCTCATCCAGCTCCAACCCCTGCCACGGGCAGGGGCACCTTTCACTAGAGCAGGTTGCTCCAAGCCCCTGTGTCCAACCTGGCCTTTTGTGAAGCTGATCCTGTGGCTGCCCCAGCAGCTGAGATTCTGATCCTTCAGTGATGGGTAAAATATGGAGAACTGAGAAATACTGAGAGCAAAGTACTGAGAACCACAGCAGTGTTCTATGATTCACCCCAGGCTGACACGTTTTCTCTTGGGGGAGGTTGTTTTCAGGACTTCAGACTGAAGGAAGGCCCTTCTACCAACCGCACTGCTCCAAATTTGCCAGTTTTAAACCCAAAGCCCCTTCTCCTTTCACCATGCGTTCAGAACAGAGCTCTCCGCATCTCCTGCCCCAGCAGCATCGCCTGGACAACACGGCCAAGCAGTTAGACAGCTCCATCTCTTCTATCAACGAGAGGAGACCTCGCCCACTGCTGTGGATTGTGACACCCGCTGGAATCCCTGCGGTTTAGGTAAATCAATCCTCGCACTTCCCATCTTTAGCCCAGGAACGGTTCCCAGCGCACCTCTGCAGCGTGTTAACGCACTGACGTTACGCTGAGCTCCTGCACAGCCCCGCTCACCACGAGTAAAGGGCTAAAGCAGAGCGCTGCGGTGCCCGGGACGCCCCGAGGCGCGGTTACCCGCAGCCCGC